ACAGTGGGGGCCAAATTCTGGGTGGATCCTCCACCCTACGCCCTTGAAACATACCAACCTTTTAATTTATCCTGTGTCCTGTTGCCCAACAGACACCAAGGCCCCGTGACACTGTGGGGTCTATCACGGCCATCTTTTCTTTGTAGGTGAACAGTGGTACAGAGAGGTTAAACAGCTGGGCTGAGGCACACAGTTAGCAGAGTAGAATGAGCTACCTTGTTCGCCTGCTATCCTGGGTATCTACCCTGTAGCTGGCCTTGGAGGCTCTGAGGTCAGTGTTTTCAAGGAGTCTATTTGCTTTCCGGGTAGATAAGGAATTCTAGGAACTGCCTTGGGGAAGACTCCTCAGTGTCTACAGTGTCTGTTGCTAGGGCACTGGCCTTGTATTGGAGAGGTCATAGGAGAGATGCTAGGGGGGCAGCAGGCACATGTCCATGGAGCCTCCATACTTCATCTGCAGGCTCTGAGGAGCCAGGACTTAAAGCCAAGAAGTAACTTGACATTGTTTCCACTTTTATCTCTGCTGGGAAGATAGAGGTGTGCATATTTAAACCTTTTGGATAGAAATATGATCCTTGACAATGTGTCTACACTCCTCGTCCTCTGCCCCAGGAGGGAGTGTGGTCCAGGCTGAGGCCTCTGTCTGCTTAGTCTGCTGACCTGGGTGAGTCTGAGACTGTGGGGCTTGAGCAGAGTCACTGAGGCCTCCAGTGGAAGACCAACGGCTGCAGCCTCTGCTTCTCGTTGAAGTTACATTGTGAATCCCAGTACGTCTTTTGCACTAACTGCAACAAAGATGGAGAACAGATCTGTGGTCTGGCTTAAGGATGGTTGAGTCTTGTTTTCTGTTATTGCGGTTAATACTGAGACTCAGTTGTCTCTCAGTGACACCAAAGGAATGACAGTCATTTCAGTGGATAAATTTGTTTTGTTTTGTTTTATTTCATTTTGCTTTTTGAGACAGGGTTTCTCTGTGTAGCCCTGGCTGTCCTGGAACTCACTCTGTAGACCAAGTTGACCTTGAACTCAGAGATCTGCCTGCTCTGCCTCTCAAGTGTTGGGATTAAAGGCCTGTGCCACTATGCCTTTGACATGGGTAGACAAACCTTACAGAAGTATAAATGTGGTTTCTGGAAGCCTCTGGAGCCCTCTGGAAGAGGACATTGGCTGTGTAGCTCTGTTGGTTAGGAGATGAAAGAGAGCTGGGTTCACACGGGATGAAGGCAGAGGCAAATCCTGCTCTGAACATCCATCCCTTGGCATTAACTATTTTTGAGCCAGTGTATCAGGTAGCCCAGGCTGACCTTGAACTTATGTAACTGAGGATAACATCCTGCCTCCCAAATGTACCAACGCAACCAGTTTATATGGTACTGGGGACTGAACTCCAGACCTTGTGCATGTTAGGCAAGCACTCCATCACAAGCTCCCTACCTGGACACCAAGAAAACCTTAAACATTGTTCTTTCAAAGGTTTTGCAACTGGTCTTGGATATGGGGGGTTGAGAGTAGAAGACAGGGAAGTTCTTTAAGGTAGGTCATAGACACTGTGTTACCTTGAAGTGACGGGCCTTCCTGGCTTTTGCAATCTTTGTATTTCTACCAGACATCCATGACCCTGCTGTGGATCTTTTACGAGATGGCACACAACTTGAAAGTACAGGAGATGCTGCGGGCAGAGGTTCTGGCTGCCCGGCGCCAGGCCCAGGGCGATATGGTCAAGATGGTGCAGTTGGTCCCACTTCTAAAAGCCAGCATCAAGGAGACCCTGAGGCAAGTCTAGCAAACCCATGCCTCCCCATCCCCAAGCCCCTGGGGAAGGGTTCCAGGGATGGGCTAGTGGAGGAGAGTAGAAATAGGAAGGGAGAAGTGTGGAAGGGGTGAATAGGACTGGGGAGTGAGAACTAGAACCAAGTCCTGCCTTAGTTTCTCCCTGTAGTCGGGGGAGCTGCAATGCTAGGTTGGTGTGGGAGTCAGGGTAGGGGATACATCCCTGTTCCAGGATCTGAGGCCATCTATCTCTGACGGTCCTCTTTCTGCAGGCTCCACCCCATTGCTGTGACCTTGCAGAGGTATCTTGCAAATGATGTGGTGCTTCATAATTACAAGATTCCTGCCAAGGTAGGACTCAGGGGCTCTGTTAGTCACACAGAGGAGAGGAGAGAGCAGGATTCAATTCTAACTAGATGGTGGTGATGGGGGCTTCTCTCTGGGCCTTTCTTCCTGATGCTGGGGCATTGGTGGGGCACTCAGATGCGGCAATCTCAGTTTGCGTGAACAGTAGTGGCAGTGGGCATGATGGGTAATGAATTCTGGAGTTCAGGGCTACAAGGCTAACCTGGCTGGTATTTCTGGGTTGAGGTATGGCAAGGGTTGAGAACAGCATAGGAAAACCCCATGGGTTCTTCCTTAGCTTTTTGTCTTCAGCCTTCATCAAGGTTCACAGAGGGGTAGGAGTCCTGTTTGAAGCTACACAGTGGGCAGAAGGCCCTGCTCTGTCCTGTCTTGGATAGCTGGGAAGCTAGGCTTGGAAGCAGGGTCCCAAGGAAGCTGGGGTTAGGGTTGTACTCGGAATGGTGGGGAGCTGGAACCACTCAGACTTTGTTACCTTGCTCCTAGACATTGGTGCAGGTGTCTATCTACGCCATGGGCCGAGAACCCAGCTACTTCTCCAACCCAGACAAGTTTGACCCAACTCGCTGGCTGGAAAAAAGCAAAAATAACACCCACTTCCGGTACTTGGGCTTTGGCTGGGGTGTTAGACAGTGTCTGGGCCGGCGGATTGCGGAGCTGGAGATGACCATCCTCCTCATCAACGTGAGTGGGGCTCTGGGACATGGCAGCACCCTGGGAAGTCATCAACATTCCTCCCTCCATCTCAGAATTCAGGGAGTGCAGCCTCAGGGCTCACCAATCTACCCCAACTCCCAACTGCCTCCTCATTTGGACTAACCTACTTCTTACCTATCCGTTGACGTCCCTTGAGCATCTATCTATCTGTCCACACTCAGGAGGTGAAGTGGGAGACGTTGCTCAACATATTAGTTAAGGTCAAAGGTAAAGTCATGGAACAGAGCTCGCAGGACCCATTTAGACGTGGTGAGAGTGAATAATTTGTGGCATGTTCTTTAGCTCATACTCAACATAACAACCCTGTGCGTAGAGATGTCGAGTGGGTGTGACCTAGGGGAGACAAATCCTCCTTTCCATTCCTCAAGCCTACCTCCTCTTCTTCAGGTGCTGGAGAACTTCAGAATTGAAGTTCAAAGTCTCTCTGATGTGGGGACCAAGTTCGGTCTCCTCCTGTTGCCTGAGAAGCCCATCCTCTTCAACTTCCAGCCTCTCAAGAAGGACCTCGACACCACCATGATCAGACAGGGTGGCACTGTCTGAACTGCAGGCTGGAGTCACATGGGGCGATGGCCCTATGGGGGCCTTTGGGCAGGTGTCTCTGTCTGCAGAAACACCTGCTCCCTTTGGATGGTTCTGAGCTCTCAGGGGCTACCTGCTTAGGTTAGCTGGGTCCTCCTCTTCTTTATCCACTCTCCTCCTTTACTTACCCAGAAAGTTAATAAACAGATGAACTCTGCAGAGTGTTTTCGTTCCTAGAAGATCTCTAAGACATTCATTACCCCCATGGAGATGAACCCTGATCCTTGGTCAGCAGTGGGATGAGTGGCATTTAGCAAGATGGGAAGCTGTTGTGCAGCCCAACTGTGATCCCCCCCCCCCCCCATCAGTTCAGGAGTTAGCAGAATCGACACTGAGATCGCTAAGGGATCTAAATGAGATCTATCAGGAGAGGCTAGTACCATCAATCCAGCAGTTATCAACGGACCCAGGGAGCTCTGCTGTGGGGACAGGGTGGCCAGGGAGATGTGAGTAATCCCTGTCCTCCTGCGTGGAACCGCATGTGGTGAAACATCACGACGCTAAGAGGCTGAAGTGAGGTGATGGGGCCTGACGACAGAAGGCCAAAAGGCTCCACACCCTCTGCTGCCCATCCTGTGGGCACGCCCCCGGTCTGTTTTCTTGCCCCAGGGGGGTGTATTCTAAGAGCACAGGATGGAGTCTGCTCAGAATTTGGTTTATATGACATCTGTCTCTGTCCAGATCTCTCTAGACCCTCTGGTTCTATATCGTGCCATGAGCAGGTGCCAGATTCTTGCTAGCCCTTGGCTACCAGAGTCTAAGTCCTGTAGATAGGTGTGGAGGCCAGGCCAGCTCCAAACAGCAGTCAAGCTGGCTTGGTCCTTTCTAGTAAGGCTGAAGGTTCTGGGTCCACTCTTGAGCCCTTTGTTTCTCCCTAGTCTATGGCCCTCCTCCCATGTCTCTCTCTGTGTTTCATGCTGTCTTTCTCTCCTCTCATCGGTGACTCAGAAATTTCAGTGCTGCAAAGGGCCTCCTTGCCAAGACAGATGCTCTGCATGGGATAGATGAAGAATGTGGAGGTCAGAGAGATTTCCAGTCACTTAGAGTCATCCAGAATGCTCATGGCCAGAACCCAAGCTAGCTGGGACTCCAGCCTTCATGACTTCCTGCCTCTGACTATATTTGTACACCATATCATCAACTCTGCCAGGCATGACGGGATATCCAAGTAGTGTCATAGGAAAGCTTTAGTCTTTCTGTTCCCAGGACACTTGGAAGTCCTAAGCCTGAATGAAAGGGTACCAGAAATGAAAAGGTATTGGGGATTGATGGGAAACATGGCCTCCCGTCTTGCACAGAGCTTGGCTTCAGGCACCTTATTTCTGGTCTCCATGGTCTCCTCAGCATTCTCCACAGATCATAGTAGTGTTGGCTTTCTGGGTCAGACAATAGGTACAAGGCAGCCTCAGCCCAGGACTCAAGCTGGATGTGAAAATAGCTGCTGATCCACTGCCAGCTGCCGCGCTCCAGGAAAGAGACAAACACTTATTGAGTTCTAGCATTTACTAAAGACATCTTTGGGGTGGACATGACTCCTCAGCACATGGGGAAGGAGGCCAGCTCCAGGCTCAGGTCTTCTGGGAGTGAAAAATCTCAATCTTGGAGTTTGAGGGTCTGTTGAACTTCATGTCTGAGTTGGGCAGTGAGGGTTCCAGTTTGGAGGACTGTTGGAGATCCTTGGCCACTCCAGCACTCTGTGACATACAATATAAGGCAGATAAGTATATGCCCATTCCCAGGGTACACTGTCTTGGGGCATCTTGTGTGGTAAGTCATGCTTCTGAGGATCCAAACCCAGCAGGCTGTGGCATTTTATCATTGCGGGTGACCCTAATTCCTCTGGGTCCCTAGGACTACATGAGCTTGTAGAGGTAATGCTATGCCCCCTGGACAGCCTCAGGTTCTGTTTAGGGCCGGTAGAGCCTTGGCTGCAAAGTGCCGATAGATTGAAAGTAGGAGAATCAGGACCTTTTGCTGTGGGGTATGAAGTCTTCAGGGCTGGGCTTGGGGTGGGGTGGAGACACTGATGTGATTGATCTACTTGTTCCTGGGAAGAAGGGAATGTGAATCTATCCCCAGTATTGATGTCATCTAAGAAGGAAGCTAAACAGAAATCTATTGCACTAGAAATTGTGTAGGAAGAGGTACAAGGTATTCTGCCCATGTGTGATGGCAGAGTAGAACCAGAATACTCTAGAAACGCCTGTGAAGGCCATGTCTCACCCATAGTTATCTCCTCCTTGAGGTTTAGGACAACTAATGGGGAAGGGGACTTGTTGGCAGGCATTCCCGTCCCTTCAGACGAGTGGGGGAATGGAGGTCACTTGATTATCCAGTTTGTTAATGGTGGGACCTCAGCTCTAGACTTCTGATATCTAGCTTAAGATCTATCCCCCAAGTTTTTCTCGGGGCCTCATGATTGGAGGTTAGGATGGTTTTTAACCTATCACCCAGGAACTCTGTGTCAGGGTGACTCACAGGCTGGTCTGTGATGATGGAGTTTGACGGGTGTCCAAAACCATGTTGTTGCTCCTGAAGCCGTATGGCCAAGTTTTGCTTCTCACGCGCCCAGTGGCGAGCTGAGTCCTCAAGCTGCAGATTTGGAGAGGGGAATTTGGAGAGGCAGAAGTTAGCACAGCTCCTCCCCAAGAGCTAAGACAGGGTCTGGGCTTGTCCTCTGGGAAAAGGCAAAGCCCTGGCAGTAGCAGAGGTGAGGAGTCAAAACAGGCAGCCTAAGACACAGACAGATCTCAGCAGTCCGCATGGAGTACATACTCTGAGCGGCATCCACACTGGGCTTCACTCTGGTCACAGACCAAGGCTGACCTGGTTACATAATAGGCCCTAATTATGGAGTTGTACATTGGGTCTTGACCCTACTTGTATACTAGGCATTGCTCCTGGCCAGAGGCTGCACTGTGAGCTTGCTCCAGCATCTCACCTACCTGGTTTTCCAGGGACAAGATCCGACTCTGAGCTTGTTCTAGCTTGGCCAGGAGGTTAAATTTGTCTGAAGTACCACCAAGGAGATCCTGTGGGATCAGACGCTCACGTGAGACCCCATATGGGAGCTGAGGCCATGACTGAGGAAGCCCCAGGTGCTTCAGGAAAACCCAGCCAGGCCTGGGTTTCAAATTCAGTGGTAGACACAGCGCCTCAGTCCTGGGCCAGGGCCTCTGCTTAGCATCTGCATAGGGCTTGGTGTGCATTGTTCCCTATGCTGTTTCCCACTCAGATTAGAGACTCTGACATCACATAGATTCCAGGCTGGCCTTGAACTCACTATGTAATTAGGATAACCTTCACTTCCTGTCCTCATGCTTCCATCTCCTGAGTGCTGGGATTACAGGCGTGTGTAGGTTTATGCAGTGCTGGGGATTGAACACAGGGCTTCATATATGCTAGACAAATACTCTACTCACTTAGCTACACCCCCAACTCACACCTAATAACATTACCAGCTGCTTATGTAAAATGCACTAATGAACTCCCTTTAATACCAGGAGGCGGTTGAGCTGGGAGTCTTTTTGTAAATGAAGATTCAGCAAAACAAAGGATGCCCATCTTTCATGTTTTACCTGTCTGCCGGTGCGTTGGGACATTCCAAACAGAACTGACTTCCTGGATGAACACAAACACTCACCTGTGCCCTCTTGCCACCATAGCTTCAAACATTGACTCTGGGTTTGTGTACAAAGGGGTATTTGAAGTACTCCCCGGGACACCCACCTGTGCTGGCAGGGTCTCTGTGCACATGGAGTGGCCCGGGCCATTTGTGTCTCGTAGCCTCTCTGCCAAGTCTCCACCTGCTCCCAACTCCCTGGGATCCACCTGGGATGGGGAAAAGGGCTCTCCAAGGCTGCACCAATCCCAGACGGTTCTGAGAGGCCCATGGTGGGAGGAGGGTGTCCAAGTGGGAGCAAGCCAGGTGATAGGTGGAGTCAGGGTTCAGGGGTCAAGGGTGAGCTAGGGCCTTGCTCTCTCCCAGGGCTCTAAACGAGGGCAAAGCATTCATCTTAGGATCATGAGCGCAAAGAGTGCAAGGCGTCAATATGAGTTTCTGGTGCCACTGGGTGCTGGGAAGCCCAGATTCTGGGCTGGATCTTTAACCTGGCTCATGCTGGGGGTGACTGTGGGGTACATGCTGACCAGTGTCCTCAGGCTCCAGCCAGGTTGTGTTGGCGGCTCTTACCGGCAGGGCCTGCTGCTGCAGGATGATGGGGGCTGACTGCTGACGGTTCTTTTCCAACTCTGCCCGCAGCCTTGTGTTTTCGGCCAGCAGTATGGAGTAAAGATCGACAGCCATGTTCTCTCCCGTGGGGCCCAGGTGAATGCCAGAGGTGGTGAACACGGGGAAGGCTGTGAACATAGTCACTCGTGCTTGTGACATGGGCTTTCTAGCCTTTCTGTTCCCATTTTCCCCAGCATTTTGTTCCATTCTGCTCCCAAGCTAGCAATGGCTCCCTTTTGCCAGTGGAGTCAGATCCACGTCCCCCAGGCTGTTTAGGATCTTAGTCCACTGTTTTCCCTGTTCCTTCCTGCTCATTCGTCCTTGTATTTGTCTCTCTGGTCCTGACCTGGTTGTTGCCCTCCATAGATGCTAGCCCACATTCTAGGTGGCTTAAGGAGCCCTGAGATGTTCATTGTTTTCTAAACACTTTCAGATCCCAGGTGCCTAGCCATCAATGAAGACTGAACCCAGAGCCAGGCATACAGAGATACTTTGGGGGAGTCTCTCCACGTGGCCAGGGAGATATCTGACCTGATATGGTGTCATTTTATTCTTTCCTGCTTATCAGAGCTATCTTTTATTGACAGTTGTGGATAGCTGTGGTTTTCACCGATGAGGAAAATGAACTGATCCCATCAGAGTGGTTTTGTCTTTTGCTTTGTGGAGGCAGAATAGAAAAGATGCCAAGGGGGGCAGGGAGGAAGCGGAGGACGCGGGCACTGTGGCCTAGGAGGCCTTCCATCTGGGGAAGTCTTTCTCTGCTCCTGTGGTTCATGGGGCCTCAACCCTAGAAGTCTGGTCTCTGTCTGCTTGGCTCACATGGTATCCTTGTGTCCTAAGACATTTCCTGACAGAAGGGCTCTGATCACCATGGAAGCTCTCTGAACCTGAGAGAGGAGAGGACTAACACTATCTCGGGTGTCTCTCTCCTGCTCACAGACACAGAAGAGCACTGCCCCCTCTCTGAAAGTTCTTGTGAAGCTGGAGGGCTCCAGGGTAGGACAACAAGCTGGAAAGTAATTTACTCCGAGATCTACCTTGGGGAGTAGGCTCACCCACGTTGGGCTTCCCCTGCGGCCTGCTCGATGGTGCTGGCTCCTTCCTCTCACGGAGCCTTTCTTCCAGTACCTGCTCCATTTTCTCAATCACCTGGTGACAGAGACCAAGGCTGGGCTGGCCCAAGAGCTCCACAACCTCTAGGCTGCAGCACCTCCTGGGCAGCCCCAGCACCTGCCTTCTCCTGGTGCCGCACGGTGTCCTCCAGGGCCTTCATCTTCTGCAGCTTGTCCTGGTACCGCTTCAGTTGTGCGGCCTGCGGCTGCTGGGCCTGATACAGAAGCAGCAACTCCTTCTCTCGATCATTCTTCTGCAGGATGGAGGCGAATGGGTGCCTGGGAGTTATCTCAGCCACAAGGGTGCACGTGGCATCCTGCTGCACCCTGCGCAGCAGGCCAGGTTCCCTCCCCACCGTGTGCTTCTTTCTGCTCTGGAACATTTCCCGGGACTTTTCTCGGTGATGGCACTGTTCCCCTGACCACCAAGCCTTGGCTTACCCGAATCAGCTCGTTCTGCAGGTGTTGCACCCTGTCTCGCAGCCTCTTTATGTCCAGTTCACTCAGCAGTAGCCTCTGCTTCATGGACACCGCTGGGGTGGAAAGAAGCTGGCTTGAGAGCAGATGGAGGCAAGGGTACCCAGCCTTGGGGCTTGACTCAGGATTGTACTTTCTGTCCCCCCCCCCTAGGATGCTATAGCTGGGCAGATTGTGCAAGTGAGTCTACAGGGAGGAGCAGGAGGGGTAGGGGACTTGTGGGACACACATCTGGAGAAAGCTCCCCATCACCCTGGCAAAGAGCCGCGTGAGCCCCAGACTAAACTCAGCCCAGAGCCTGGGCCCCAGTAGGTATCCAAAGGCTCACCCAGGTTCTCCTCTTCAGCTCTGCTCTGTTCTTCTTCTAAGTTCTGCTGGGTCAGGTGACTCCTCAGCGTGCGGTTCTCCTCCTCCAGGATGCTGGTTTGCTTCCTCAGTGCCAGGATGTCCTCTGCCATCTTCTGCATGGCCCGCCGGTAGTTGTTCATCTCCTATGATCCCAGAATCCTCCGCTGAACCCTTACTCCATGCCCAACCCCCCAGGACTACGTCTGCACCCACAGTGAGCCTACTCAACTCAATGAGCGATTGCCCAGAAGAGGGGTTGGGCATGGTCCCCATCTTCTGGTAGCATTAGGACAGCCACACTAAGGTGCCTCCTCTGGGACCACAATAATTCATATGACACCAGGGGTTGCTAGGATTCAGGAATCAGGTGAGGAAGCCTGCAGGCAACAGCCTCAAAGCACGCAGCCACGTTTCCGTGTTCTGAGTAAATCTACAGCTTCACCTTCTCTTTCCTTCAGCCCCCTTTTCTAACCCAACTCCTTCTTAGACTGCCCACTGAAGCCACTTGGGGGCTGACCTACCATCAGCTTCCCAAACAGCCCAGCATCCAAGAAGAGACACCAAGTAGACCCTAGAGACTCAGGTAAGATCTCAAGGTCAAGGTGTCAGGATCCATATGCAAAATGAGGAAGACGCAGGAGATGGGGGCAGGAGCTGACTCACGTCTGGAAGGGCAATAATCATAGTGTTGGTGTTCACTGGGCTTCCCCCACACCCCAAGCCTCCTGCTAAGGGCTTTAGGTGTTTTTCTGCATTCAACCCCTAGTAAGCCTATGGGATAGGTATTATTGTCACCCCCACTTTACAAAGGAGGAAACTGAAGCCCCAAAGAAGCGAGCAACCTACTCAGTGATGAGAGCAATAGATAGTAAAGTCAGGGCCTGAATCAAGCCTGCTGGGGCTGGTGCTTGAGGCTGGTTTTTTATTTTTATTTTTTACAAAACAAAAGTCTGCTCATATATGTACAGGACAACTGAGATGAATTTTCGTGCATTATGTGTGCGTGTGTATGCATGCGTACATGTGTTGGTATGTGTGTGTGTTCAGTCTTGGGTGTCAACCTCAAGAATGAGATCCACTCCTTGAAACAGAGCAACTTCTCATTGGCCTGGAGCTCACCAGTCAGACTAGATTGGTTGGTCAGTGAGTCCTAAGGGTCCTTCTGTCTCCACTTCCCTCTTGCTGGGATGATAAACACTCAGTCACCATGCCTGACATTTACATGGGTGCTGCGCATCAAACTCAAGAACCTGCACTTGCAAGGCAAGCACTTTACCCACTGAGCCATATCTCCAGCCCTGTATTTTGCTTGTCAATCGGATTCTGTACCATTGTTACAAGTCTCAAGTACACAGTATCTTAAGATAAATATTATTTAAAGAGAGGAGAGTGAGAGAATGAGCCAAGACACAGCCAGTAAGGTCCTGGAAGAGTAGATCTCAGAGAAGGACTTAGAGGTAAAGAGGGAGGAGGCAAGTAGGCTATCTGAGTTGTCTGTAGACTTCCAGGCTGTGGGAAGCCTTGCTCCTGTGGGTGGGCCTCACAGACCTAGCCTGACTCCCAGGCCCCACAAAGAACAACCCTCCATGCAATCTCCCCTGGTCTCCTGCTGCCTGGTGTGTGTGTGTGTGTGTGTGTGTGTGTGTGTGTGTGTGAGAGAGAGAGAGATCCAGCTACATTCCCAGTTATACTCTCCCACCTGCTGCCTGGGGTGAGGGGATACAGCTATATCCAAGCTACGGTCTCCCACCTGCTGCCTGGGGTGAGGGGATCCAGCTATATCCAAACTATGGTCTTCCACCTGCTGCATGGTGGGGCACAGCTTCTAGGGGAGGGGTCCCCAGTCAGCAGGATTTCATTAGACACTGCTTGTTGTCTGCCGTTGCTGTCTAGCCGTCTGGCTATAGTCTCTCTGACGGTGCCACTGCTGGCTCTATCTCCCTAGAATCTGTTGTGGCTTCCCCAGATCTGCGCCCATCTGGCGTCCTCAGTCAGGGTGCTTACTGGGACCCTGGACCTGGGACCGCATGCGCGTGCACACACACATACATACACATGCACATACTTACTTTGGAGTCAGGGACATGTGTGGAGTTTGGGACCTCCTAGCGGCCCAGGAGTTGCTGAGAGCTCAGGATGGGCTTTTCAGGTGTGCGTGGGGGGCACTATTTTCAGTCTGTCTCTTTTCGGCTTCAATGGCTATTCCACTTCACAGATCCTTCCCTTTTCCTTCTTCCTACCATGGGCCTGCTGGCTCCCCCTCTGCTGAGTGGTTAGGGCACATCCCAAGACTGACTGCATCTAGGGCCCAGGGCTTGACTGGAGGAAGTCTCTGATATTTCAAAAGAGGGGATCATCTCCTGTCCGCCCCAGCTACTTCAACCTCTTCTCACGCTGCTTGGATTACAGCAGCCCCAGTGCGGTTACTGGTTTCTAAGTTATTGCCTCAACACATACACATTCCTAGGTCTATGGTCAAGGATGTTCCATTCAGCAGTTTGTAGTCTTATACTATGGCTTCTCTCATGTCTGGTTGCATGGAGTGTCCTAGAATTAGTTGTCCTGGTTCAGAGAGAAGGCCACACTCTATTGTGAAATGAAGGGTTTGTGTGGAGAATTAACACAAACTTAACTGGGATGAGATGGGAACATGCACACAAAAGGAATTCTGGGGAAAGGTTGCAGCCCCTCGGCCCCTCTTACAGGATCCGGGCAGCCCACTTCTCATTCAGGGGATTATCGTTTTTAAGATCTCACTCTTCCCCAACTCTGCAGTTCTGGGATGTGGGGGAAGTAAGTATTGCTCTTTTATTTTTACCCTCCCCCATCGATGAAGGAAACAGAGATCATAGCAACAAAGGAAAGGACAGAGGGAAAGGTTGGCTTCTGGTGAGGCGGCCCCCTGCCTCAGCCGTCAGGTCCTTCTAGAGGAGGGTCAGTGGGTCCTGGGGACTCCATCCCTTGAAGCCTCATCTTCCTCCCAGACTCTTAGCCTAGCCCTGCCTGGTCCCTGGGAATGAGGCCTCCATAGAGAGACAGACAGTATAACCTCCTGACTCAGCCTCTCAACTCCAGCCAGGGCTCTGTTTCTGTGGGGATCTCAGCTGCCCCCATTTGCATGGCCGAGTGGGGACCTTGGCAGCACAGCTGGGCTGGCAGACCATAAGGTTCAAGTTAGCAGCCCTGACCTCTGGCCACAGCCTGCAGCCGGTTTATCCTCAGGGCCATGTTCTACATCACGTTCTGGCCTTGAAAACACACAGGACACCCTGTTCCAGATTCTCTTTATAATCTCACTCTCTAGTTACCTCCTGGGGGAAGGACAGCGTGGTGGCCTCAGGGGCACTGACTCAAATGCCTGACCCTGAGGACCCTTCACACCCTTCTGGCCCACTGGCTCCCTCCACCCAACCCTCAGAGCCTGCCAGAGTGAGGAATGTCAGAGTGCCAGGTTTTAGTTTCCCCGCTGCCCAGGAGTATTTGTGGGCTTTACCACATCCATAGCTCCCTGTGGGCTCAGGAAGTGGGGTTCCCGACCTTAGGCTTCAGTGCCCTCATCTGTGGATATGAAATCAGCCCCAAGAACACTGTGATATGAGAGCTAATAGGAAGGTTAGCCCTGGCCCTGGCGCTAGGGTGCCTGGGGACAATAACTCAAGGAAACCACTTTAAAGTGCTTCAAAACACTCCAGAATGGCCCTGGTCACTGGGCCCAGAAATTCTTCTTATATGATGAGACCTAGTTTACTGGACAGAGGTTCATTTCCACTGAGGAGGAGGGTGGGAACTCTCTGAACCCAAGAGAGATACTTAGACTATGGCCAGAGCTTTCGCTAAAGTCTGAAGCACATCACCCAATGGGGACCCAGCACGCATCTGGCTGCCACCAATTGTGTAGTCAGAAGAGACCTTGTATCATCACTATACAGATGGGGAAACTGAGGCTGGAAGTAGTGTGCTCCAGAGACTGTCATAAAGCCTGCGCCCGAAGCATCGCAATAACCCCCTTGGTAGTCAAGGCTTGCTGAGTGCCACTTTGTACAGTTCTGGGTCACATAGAGCCTGGATCAGAGATAAGCAAGACTGTCCCTTCCCACAGTGGTCCACCTCCACACTGAGGGGGTAGCAGATGCTTCCTTGTCTGTGGAAGAAGGGGCCTCCAGAAGGCCTATTCCCAGCTTAGTAAGCCTGGAGAGCTTCCTGGAGGCAGTGACAACCCAAACCTCTCTTAGGACGAGAGTGGTACCTGGAGGAAGGGGCTTCCAAGACCAGGAGAAGTTGTGGGGAGAGACGGGGAAGGGGACAGCTGCAGAGCAAACTGGAGAAATGGACTCTCCTGGCCTCTGCTGGAGGAAACAGAAGGGCCCACCATGCAGGGGTGTAATAAGTGCTCGTGGCTGCCAGCTACTAGGGACAGATGGGTATAGGGGTCCAGAGTAGTGCTAGGTGAGAGGCAGGGGCGTGGAACAAGATGAAGGAGGAATAAAAGCGGAGGGAGGGAGACATGGGAAGGCAGGCCTCTGAGATGTGCACCTCGGAAAGGGAGCGGATGTTCAGAATTGGGGAATGGAGAGAAAGGATACAAAGCAGTTGGTGAAGAACACTCAAGATGGGGGGGGGGGGAGAGGAAGGCGGTGTATGGGGGTAATCGCCAGAGAGGAAGACAAGCGGGAAGAGCCGGTGGCCAAGCCAAGACCATAGGACTCCCTGAAGAACGCTTGGGCTGTGGACAGCAGTAGGAGGCTGAGCAGGGATCTGGGCTCACCAGGCCTGCTTAAGTTCTGGCCTCAACCCCCCAGGGCTCCTGCTGGTGGGCTCAAGATGCTGGCATGTGGTTTGCCTTTGCTGCCACCAGAGGGCAGCCGCCTCCCGCCAATGCTCTGCTTTCGGTCTGTCCCAAGAAGAGGGCAAGGCTTCCGAGGAGCCCCACGGCTTGTATTAGAGTATTTCACCACCTAGCCCCACCACACGCATGCCCCTTCTCCAGATGATCCAGCTGTCCTCCTGAGACATGCCCTGGCTAGGATGGGTGCCCTCTGCTGAGAATCATCCTTGGAAACCAGAGAGGTCAGTGACTTGCCTGAAGTCACACAGCAATTCTTGAACCTCAGCGGGGTCCTTTATTGGCTCTAGGGAAGATTAT